TACTGCTCTGTGGACATGCCCCCTCCTAGTATCAGAGAAGCTTCTTGAAGTCAGAGACTCTCTCTTGGAGGTCTCTGTAACCCACTCGGAGCCACTTGGCATTGACCTTGAGAAATTGGGCAACAAGCAGATGATGGCTTATAGTGAGGCCATTATGGAGGCTGAATGGTCAGGAGCGTCAATATTTACCAGGGTCAATATTGAACTTCAGGGACAATGAGCTAACCTGATGTATGAAATCTGCTCCCTAATGAATGTGCCGGTGAAAGGAAACTTCTCTAGAGCAGGCAGGTCAGTTTGGGGGGTGGGGGCGCTTGGGTTAGCTTTTGTTGTCCTTCCCTGGGGGCCAAGCAGTGGAAAGTTGGATCGCATCTCTGTTATTGCTTCTCCTACTCCATGGACTCTGCCAGATGCATCAGTCTACTCTTCCAAACTCTGGGGAGGTGAATGGGATCCCAGTGGCCCCAGTGCTTGGGGATTAATGCTCAGCAAAGTTGTAAGCAGGGAGCGTATTGAGGCCACTTTGCATTTTGGGCTGCTGCTGCCACCTTTGGTTTCCTCCAGACTACCTCGGTTGGCAGTGTTGGTGCGGGGGGGGGGGGGGCGGTGCTCCGTTGGAATCCCCGCTCTTCCCATTTCTTTTTTCTGCATGACCTTGGGTAAACAGTTCAACTTCTCTGAGCTTCAGTATAATAAAGGGGTCGGAAGCGCTAACTGCTGAGTCTCCTGACACAGCACTAAGGTATATGTACAAAATGAGTTGTGAGCAATGAAATATAAGAAGCCCTGGAAGGGGGCCCTTTATTTCACCCGCAGAAGAGTTCTGTGTAGTAGGTACGTGGACCGTGCTGTGGCTCTGACTCCCCCAATCCTCTGTACACACTCTGAGGTCTCCCTGTGGGCAGCCTGGCTGGTTGTGCACACATACACGCTGCAGGAACACGCTTGTCATCACGCCTTCATGGCATTTCGATGTGATGTTTATTCATCGAATGATACTTGTGACACAGAAACTCACCCAGGAGCTCTCTTTGTGGGAATATTTGTGGGAATCACCGGTTTCTGAGCCAGCTTGGTTAATTTGGGCACATGTTGGATTGGAAGGAAGCTATTCCTTATTTTGAAATGCAATCGACCTCCTCGTAACTACCCCCCAGTGCCCCATTTGCTCCTGGTGTGGCCCTCTCAAATGACTGTCCATTGTGTTCATCGGGTCGGCCCTTCTATAGGCTGCACCTCCCTTCGGGGTTATTCAGTCGTTTTCAGTCATGTCCCACTCTCCAGGACCCCATTGGGGGTTTTCTTGGCAAAGATCCTGGAGGCCTTTGCCATTCCCTTCTCCAGCTCATTTGACAAATGAGGAAACTGAGGCAAACAGGGTGAAGTGACTTGTCCAGGGTCATACAGCTAGGAAGTGTCTGAAGCCAGATTTGAATTCAAGAAAATGAGTCTTCCTGACTCCAGGCCCGGTGCTCTATTCACCGCGGCATCCCTCAGCTGCCGCAGAGGTGTGATTTTAGAGGACCCTTGTACTGGGAGGTGGGACGAGCTGTCCCTCGTTAGGGTAGGGTGATGCCTTTGGAGCAAGATGGTTCAGGCTGAGGAGGGGCTGCGGGGAGGTGGATGTTTTGATGGTAGGCTGCTGGAGGCTACTGCTACCCCTTCCCCTCCTGCTAGTGTGGGCAAGAATGTGCCTCTGTCCTCTACCAGCTGTGGCGCTAAGGATGGTCATTACTGTTAATCAAAGTCTATCTCTGACTTTGTCCTAATCTATTTATGGCCGGTGTTTCTATAACATAAAAGGGGGTAGAGGCTGAGGAACATGGAGCGAAGGCAAGGGTTTGAAGGGTATGGTTGTCTCAACATTATAAGTCTTTGAGCTCAAAAAGATGTAAGCCTGATGATGGGGGATCATTTTGGTGTTTTGAGAGGAAAGGATGCTAGTCTGAGCTGTTTCTTGGGACCTGTTCTAGGACCTCAGGTCTCACTGACCCAGTCTGGCCAAATCTCCAATATCTCAATGTCACCCATCTGCTGGCTCCTCCGTTTTGTGGCCACAGTGCCCCCTGATGGTGGCTGTTGGTGCTGCACAGGAAGTTGTTCCCTGGCTCCCCCTTGTGGATCATGTGACTACTTTTCTGTGACTAGACTCCATTTTGTGAGAGCTCTCCTCCAGCTCAGCGCCATGGCTCTGCCTCCAGACCTCTGTGGTCTCAGTGAGGTAAGCTGGCTAGCTTTGGCCCAAAATCAGGAGGTCGCAGAGGCCCCAAATAGGCTGTCATCTCCATGGGGATGGTCTCAGTGATCGTCATTTTATAGAAGAGGAATGGTGGGGAGGGGGCAATGGAAAAAAAACTCAGAAATCTTTTCAATTTTTTTTTAAACTTATTTAACCATGTGAAAAATGGGATAATGATATCTGTGGTCACGCTGCCTGCCCAGGGTGGTTGTGACTACCTATAGAGGACTTGTAAATTTCAGCTATTGTTATCTAGTATGAGGTAAGGGGTGGGGGGGTATGGGGGGGGTGCGCACGTGCGCTCAGGACAAGTGCAATGAGACAGAGGCCCAATTTGAGGTCAAGGCCTGCACATTCTGCCCCTTCTCAGCTTCCCAAGCAGCCCTTCCAGCAGTGACTCTTATCTGGAATTAAATTAAGAGGCTGAGCATGCCTTCCTGAAAAAGAAGGGAGAGGAAGCGCATCCCCACCAGAAGGACCCAACTCTAGCTTTGTCAAAAAGATATGGCTCCGGTCTTAGCTCAGAACCTTCTGGAAAGCCCAATGGAGGTAGGCTGGAGAAAGAGAGAGGGACTGAGAGAGAATTAGGGAAAGAGAAACAGGAACAGAGAAGAGAGAGACAGAGAAAAAGAGAGAGAAGGGGGAAGTAAAAAAGAAGAGAGAGAGACAGAAAAAGAAGATAGAGGAGGAAAAGAGAGACAGGGCAGGGCAAGAGAGAGCAAAAAGAGAAGGAAGAAAAAAGGAGAGAAATACAGAAAGAGAAGAAGAGGGGAGAGCAAGGGGAGAGAGGGTGGGGCAGGAGAAAAACAGAAAGAAAAAAAATAAGGGGAAACAGATTTAGGGAAAGGCAAAGGAGAGAGAGAGAGAGAGTCTTTTTCCTCTTTCGGGAGGTGACTGGTAGATTATTTCCATTTCCACTTTGTTCTCTGATTCTGAAAGCTCTAGGGTAGTTTCTTTTATGATTTCCTGAAATAGAATTTCTAAGCTCTTATTTTGCTCATGACCTTCAGGTAGTCTGATGATTCTTAAATTATTTCTCTTCAATCTGTTTCCCAGGTTATTTGTTTTTCCTATTAGGTATTTCAAATTTTCTTCTTTTTTTCAGTCTTTTGACTCTGCTTTATTATTTCTTGGTGTCTCATGCAGTCATTGGCTTCCATTTGGCCAATTCTAATTTTCAGAGAGTTACTTTTTAGTGAAGTTTTTTTTTTTTAACCTCTATTTCCCATCAATTGATTGATGTTCACATTTGTCCCTCTTGCTCTCATTTGGTTTTTTAAATCATTTTAAAATCATCTTTCTTAAACTCTTCTTTTAGGAATTTTTGCTGGCCTTGTGTCCCAGCCATGTTTTTCTCTGTGGATTTTCTTGTAGATGTTTTCAAGTTGGTCATTATCTTCTGGGATTATGCCTTGAGTGTCTCTGTCCTTGTACTAGCTCTTCATGGTTGGGTTCTTTCGCTTGCTCATTCTTCCAGCCCGTGTCCTGACTTTAGACTTGATGTTAAGGCTGGGCTCTGCCACACTTCTGGGGAGAAGGTCTGTTATGTCTTTCTGCTGTTTTCCCAACTCAGTGTTCGGTACTTCTGAAGTGGTGTGATCTGGGGAGGGGTCTGCTCCCTGTCCTCCTCACCAGAGGTCTGCATGTTCCTGACCCAGGTTTGGGTCTGTTGGCTCATGTGTGGTTCAGTTGCTATAGACGGCTGCTGGACTCAGTCACTGTTAACCCACTGGGAGGTTCTGCAGGTTTGGAGCGACTGAACTGTCAGCTGCGGGTTAGTGTTGGTCACTTGCCGTGGGGGTGGGGGTGGTTATTCCCACTGACACAGAGAGATGGAGAGAAGGTTCTTCTTGGGTACAAGGATGTCCTCAGCAGGCTTCAGTCATTTGGGATAGCCCTGCAGACCATCCCAGAACATGACTCCCATGTTAATTTAGCATTTTAATCCTCAGATCAAAGATCTGATAGAGATCATCAAGTCTCATTTTACAGATAAGGAAACTGAGGCCCATAGAGAGGTTAAGAAATTTACCCAGAAGCAGATTTGAAGATTTGGTCCAGGACACACCTCATTATACATCATCAGCCTCTCCCATGTTTTCTGCTAACAACGCCCTACATGTTTACTCATCTGGTTTCCAAATAGACATAGAAACATGTAAGCCATTGTTACAGCTTCATGGCTAGGACCTGGAACTCAGAACTAGGAACACCCGAGATCAAAGCCTACCTGACTGACTAATTGTGACCCTGGCCAGTTTGCTTCCCGCACTCATCCAGACCAGGCTTGAGAAGCTTGAGCCCACTTAACTTCTGAGGTTCCTTCTACCTCTGGGAACAACTCTAGGAGGTGGGCAGCACCCCAGTTATTATGTCCATATTGCAGTGGAAAAGCCTAGGGCTTCCAAGAATAAAACTTGTGCCCACCAAGCCCTTCTGACCCTGAGGCCACTGCTGGTCCTGCTACATGCACCATGTTGCTTCTCAGTTGAGAGAAGGGCTTCCTTACGTGCCAGACGCTGTGCTAAGTGCTACCACGGAAAATCCAGAAGCTCAGCCGCTCCCGCCCTTGACGAGCTTCTGACTTTCCCTGTGGAGGCATTCGTGGGATGGGGTCATCTGTCCCCTTCCCTGCCTGCCCACCCACCAGGTTCCAGGATAGCAGGCTTTGAAGATTTCCTTGCCCCCCTTCTTCCTTTCCCCACTGTACCCATGAGCTTTCCCTGGATCTTCTCCAAATGACAAACTTTTCTCCAAACAGGCGTCCCTGGAGCCTGCGACTGTGGAAGAGAATTACCATCTGGAAAGCGCTTTTGTGGAAGATGAGTTCTTGGCCATGGACAAGTCCTCCCCCACTCCGTACAGCATCAACATCAACATGATCCTTCCTGACAGCACCATCTACGGCGCTCCCGAGGCCTTGGCAGTCTTCCCTCCGATCAAAAGCGAGCCCAGCACCAGCGTTGCGCAGGCCTGCCCCACTGTCGTTCCTTCCCCACCAACCCTGCCAGATTTCACCAGCATCTTCAGTGTACCACAACCTACGGCCATGAGTAACATCTTCATTAAGCAGGAGCCGCCTGGAGAGATGCCTGTGGCTGCTGGGCTGCAGGCAGCCCAGTTGTGCCAGATGCCTCTGGCTGGGGCTGGCGTGGATATCGACGTCTCCATGGCCATGCCGTCGCTGAGCAATGCCACAGCCTTCAGTGGCCTGAATGGCGTCAGCCTAGCTGCAGGCAACTCCCTGACTGGGATCCTTCAGCAGTCATCAAGGCTCGAGGGAGAGGAGAAGTCCTTTCCCAGTGTCCTCAAAGAGCAAGGCAACTTCAGCCTCGCCAGGGAGTTCTACCCTGTCCCAAGTGTCAGTCTGCCCCCATCCCCCCCCAGCTCCAAGCCTGGCAGCCCTGAAGATCAGCCCCCCCCATCTCTTGAGACGGCCTTTGGACTGAAGCTGCTACAGCCCTCCCAGATTGCCACATTCCCCGTCCCCCAGGGGCAGCTCATCCTGCAAGCGGCCCGATTCAGCCCGAACCCGCGCAGCAATCCAGAGCTGGACAAGAAGCGTGTTCATCGCTGTGACTATCCAGGTAATCCCTCCCTCCCTTGCTGCATTCAGCTGGCAAGCTGCTCTAGGGGGTGATCGAGGCTGGCTCTGGGGAGCTCCAGCAAGGCACTCCTGGCTTGCAGTGGCCATCTGGAATAAGTCAGGAAAGAGGTAGGGAAGAACCCTCTGTGATCTAGCTTGAGCTTAGACACGAGCGAGCTGGCATGTCACGCTGGTGCCAACGAATGTTAGCAGAGCCCTTTGCTCGCCACGACCTTGGCCTGGGATGGGGAAGGCAAGACTCATTCTCCCCTTTTCCAAATGGAGTTACCAGGACCCAGCAGGGAGGACACCCACCCTCGAGCCGGGGGGCTGGAAGCCGGGCTCTGCTGGGTCCGGGGCCTGCGCTCTCCCTTTAGACCACAGAGCTGCCATTAGTCGGGACACCTCGAGGGTACAGGGGGCATGGTGTCGCACGCAGGCCATTGGCGGCCTTAGGGGCTACAAGGTGAGACCCTGCATTGCAAAGGAAGCCACCCAGGGCCACTGAAGGGCGCAGCCACAAGCATTAAGGGAAGAAGGGAGGCGTGGCAAGGCCCTGGAGAAGGTGCAGCTTGAAATGGGACTTGAAGAAAGTAGAGGCAGGGAGGCTGGAGGCAAAGGTCTGGAGAGAGGGAAGGGGGTGGGGAGAAGTCCTAGGAAAAAGGAAAGGGGCTAGACAGACTGCGCAACCAGATGGTGTGGGGCCACAGAGGTAGAACAGAATGTTTAATGTGATTGTACATGGAGAGCCTATAGCAGATTACGTGCCGTCTTGGGGAGGGAGAAAAAAATGTGGAACTCAGAATCTTATAAAAGTGAATATTGAAAACTAAAATTAATGAATTAAAAAAGAAAGAAAGAAAGTAGAACAGAGGCCTTTAGGCTGGAGCTAACAGGTAATAGGGAGCCAGTCCAGGTTCTTGAGCTGGGGAGTAGCATGCGTGCTCTGACTAGTACTTAAGGACAGTGGATCTAGCAGCTGGAAATACAGGACATACTCAAGAGAGAGTCAGGACTGGAGGATAATCTGGGGGCCTCATGCCCTGACCTTGCTTAGAGGACCAGGAAATGTGGCCGTCTCATATTTAGGCAGCCCAGAGTGCTGGACAGCCTCGTGAGTGGCCTTCCGTGGCTCCCATCCTTGTGTCCCATGGTGTGCTCACCATAACTGCTGTGGCTCCGTCACCTCGTCCCCACCTCCCCATCCCCTCAGCCAAACAGTGACTCTTGCCTTCTCTTGCCTTCAGGTTGTATTAAGGTTTATACCAAGAGTTCTCACCTGAAGGCCCACCAGAGGACACATACAGGTAGGCACTAAGGCGCCAGAGGGTTTGGGTTGGGCTGTGGACTCTATCTGCTGCTGCCATACGGTGCCAGGCATTCCAGGGCACATGGTATTTTGCACGTACTAGAACAGAACTAGACCACTGCCAGGCAGCTGGGCACCTACCCGGTGTCCTGAGGGGCATTTTTCCAGACAAGGGAAGGGGGCTTCTGGAGACCAACACAGTTGTCACCTGGCTCTGGCCCAAGGTCTGTGCAGGTGAAGGGCCGGCCGCCGTCTCCCCAGGTGAGACCTCACAGGTACACCTGGGCTGCCAGGCGACGTCCTCCAGAGCACCGTTGTGACTTGCTCCCCAAGTGGGCCTTTCCCACAGAAGTCAGGCTCAGTCTCTGAATCTCCAGGGGCTAGCCATCCCCTGCCACCTAGCTAGAGTGTACCTTCATTCACGTCGAGAGGAGGTGAGAAGGGAGAATTACCTTGTGTTGGTCCTCACTGGAATCCAGCAGGATAAATGACGTGAGGGGAATTTAAAGACAGATCCCCTGCTACCTCCAAAGAGACAGTCTGCTAAATGGGTGGCTTTGGTGCCTCAGGGGCTCTGGGATCTCATTGAGGGGGGTACAGAGTGCCCCCCAGCTCTGCTGCTCCACAGGTGCTTTGCCATCCTGGTGCTAGCTGGCTGGCAGCTGGGAGGGAGCTCTCCCCTTGCTCTGCTCATGTGATATACTGTGTGACATACCTGGCCCCCTTTTGTGCCCCGGGTCACTTTAGGAATGCTTGCAGCCTCTACTGCCACCTACCAAACAGCTCTTTCAAAACTCGCCCAGACTTTGTTTCTTCCAAGACTCTGGTGCTCCGTCGTCTGTAGACATGTAACATCTATGAACGAGTGTTAGGATTTGAGTTGTTAGGGTCAGTCTTAGGCCACTGAAAGCATTGCCCAAATGCCAGTGGGGTCCAGCTTACTCTCTTGTGGGCTCAGTTCTGGGCCCAGCTCGTTGACCGTCTGCAAAGCCTCTACAAAACCTGGGTTTTGATAGCCCAGCTCAGTGGGCTGCCCGCCCATCACCTGATGGCCACCAACAGGTGTGACTCATTCGTTTGTTTTTCCCTTATGGGTAAAGACATAGTGGCCAAGGACAAGATGTACTTAGAATAGAAACTCCTTTGCAAAGCATCCCAGAGGGTAGTAATAGCCCTGCAAGTGCACAAAGTACTTTACAGATATTATCTCATTGATGGTGGAAGAGTGGGGGGAGGCCATGGTCCAACTGGGTGCTTCCTGGGCCATGCCACGTCTGAAGTGCTGGGCTCATTTCTAGGGATCGTGGTCAGAGGAAGGTGAACAGGGTGGCGAAGGACTGTCATTTCCTGACCTGTGAAGCCAGGTCAAAGCACTGAGAAATTCGGATTGTTTGAGTAGGTCACCCACTAGTAAGTGTTGAGGGAGGCGTGGAGCCTGAGGCTGGCCTGACTCTTCCCTACACCGTCCTGCCTCTCCAGTATGAGCACCAGGCACCTCCTCCCAAAGAGCTCCCCCACTGGCCCGTCATGGGCCTGAAATTCAACCCTGGAAGATGCACTCCTTTGGCCCTTAACCTCCTATTGAGATGTACCTTCCAGAGGTCATCAGGAGGTCAAAAGGGGCAGATGGAGAGAGGAAGAAGGCCAGCAGGAGAGGCAGGGCCGAGAGGGGAGGGGGCAGGGCCGAGCATTGCCTTCCATCTTCGATGCTTGGCCTTGCTGCTGTCCCTGTTATTATCAGCTCCTCTGAACGGGTGCCAAAGTCTGCTGCCAGGAGGCCAACCGACTCTGGCTCTGCCTCTGGTGTGCAGGCCTTTGGTCCTTGGACCATGGAGGGTGGGTTACGATGTTCAACCCAGTTGCCAAAACACACGTGGTGGAAGCTTGTGACCGTTGCTGGGTTTGGGACTTGTTGCTGTTTCTTGTTGAATTGACAGAACCAAATGGTGGTTTTTGGTCTTGTGTGGATGCTGTCTAAATCAGATGGGTCCGAGTGCAGATGGCCGTGGGGGCGGGGCAGAGCCAGGTCTGGTAAGGACTTGAGGAGTGTTCCCATGATTTAGTGACTCTGGACAGGTGTGTGTGTGTGTGTGTGTGTGTGCGTGCGCACGTGCCTGTACATGTATGTATATGCATGCACACACATGCCCTGTGGTGGCTGGGGGGCATAAGCATTGCCATCCAGATAATCTCCTACAGTTATTTTTATCATTGCCTCCTGTGCCCATTGCCACCTATTGCTGGTGAGATCCAGTGACTCAGAGGGTCTGGGAGAGATGAGATCTGGCCCAAGAACAGAAGGTGATGTTGGGGACTTGGAATGGGCCAGGAAGGAAAAGGGTAGATTTCAGTCATCTGAGCCCACTAATCTTGCTGTCTGTCCATCCCTGGAGCCCGTAATTAAACAGGTACTTGACTCGGCAAGCACACAGGAACAACCAGCATGGGGCGGTGCCCAGCCAGCACTTGGGAGTAGCCAGCACAGAGTGCTCACTGTGACTATGGAAGTCTCCAGTGGAGTGCCACCAGGCTCTATCCTTTTACACTTTCCCCTGCTTTTATGAATAATTCAGATACACTATAGCCAGGCATCATCTGTTATACTCTCTTAACTTTTAAGAATTCAGAAACATGAGAGAAAGGATCCCATAATCTACAATTCTACAAGAAAAGTTGGAATGAGATGCTATAAGGAAAGAAATTTTCAAGACAAACACAAACCATTGTGATGAGAGAGAAAGGGGGAAGTTGGCTCGAGATAGATGATGGGAGCAATGTGTAATAGAGGGCGTGACCCTATGAAGACAGTAGCTCCAGAGGGACTCAGGCAGTTCTTCCCTCCTAAGGGGGAGCACAGGAGCTTTGGAAAGCTGCTGGCAGGGGAATGAGCTCGAGCCCCAGTTTGCCCAAGTGTCGTGGGCAACACATGGGAAGCGAAGCTGCTACAGTCTGGTTTGGCTTCTGGTGTCTCTCTCTCTCTCTATCTGTCTCTCTGTGTGTGTCTCTTGGTCTCTCTCTCTCTCATCCTCTCTCTCATCTTCAGTCTCTTCCTGTCTCTTGGCTGCTTCCAAACACGGTCATGTCTCTCCCATTCTTACTTGATCCATCCAGCCTTGCTACCTATCATCCCATAACTTTTCTCCTTTTTTGTGGATAATCTCCTTAAGAAGACCATTTACAATAGGTGCCACCACTTCTTTCTTCCCATTATTAAGTCTCTACAGTCTGGCTTCTGACCTTAGCATTCAATAAAAACTGCTCTCTCCAAAGTTACCAGTTATTGGGGCAGCTAGGTGGCGCAGTGGATAGAGCACTGCCTCTAGAGTCAGGAGTTCAAATCCAGCCTCAGACACTTGACAGTTACTAGCTGTGTGACCCTGGGCAAGTCACTTAACCCCATTGCCTCACCAAAAACAAAACAAACAAAAGGTACCAGTTATTTCTACGTTGCCAAATCTGAGGGCTTTTCCTAAATCCTCATCTTTCCTGACCTCTTTGAACCCTTTGACACTGTAGTTCATCTTCTTTCCCTTAATACTCTCGGAGTTTTGGGGACACCCCTCTGTTCTCCTCTTACCTCTGTTACCTCTTCTCTGTCTCCTTTGCTGGCTCCTCCTCCAGATCATGGCCTCTAACCATAGGTACCTCTTGGGATTCTCTGCTGGGCTCTGCTCTTCTCCCTCTGGGTGATCTCATCAGCTCTGCTGACCTCCAGTCATGCATCTCTATCTGCCCATCAGACAGCTTGAACTGGATGTCCAGGAGACACCTTAACCTCATCTTGTCCAAAACACACCTCATTCTCTTTCCCTGCAAAACCACCTCCTTCTCACTAAGTTCCCAGTCAAAGGTACCGCCATCCTCAGTCCCCCAGGCTCCTAACGCGGAGCTCGCCCTCGATCCCCCCTACTCTGACCCCCTTCTGCCCTCTGCAGCATCTCTCCAACACATCCCTTTCCCCCCTCTGTCACGGCAGACCCTCATCACCCCACACTTGCACTATGACAATAGCTACTGGGGGTCTGCCTGCCTCCAGTCTCCCCTCAGGCACCAAAGTGATCTCCCTAAGGTGCAGGTCCAGTCAGGTGAGCCCAGAACCCCAAGGGAACCACCTTGGGGGCCTCAGGAAATGGCAACTGATGCCCAGCTGCCCCAACCCGAGCCCCGCCCTCCTTGACTGATGAAAGAAACTTTAAATAAGTGGCTTTCTGTGTGTAAGGTTTGCTGCTGCTCTCGGGATTCTCCCTCCATGTGCAGAGCAGGTCAGAAGGCATTCAGAATCTGAATAGAGTGAGGTGGGGGGGAGGGGAAGAGAGCAAGCCTGGACTCGCCAGCCACCTCCCATGGCCCAGCTGCCAACGTGAGTCCCAGATCACCGCCCCAGCCCTTGCCACCTCTCAGGGAGCCAGATGCCAGTTGTCTGAGGCTGCAGCATTGTGGCGTTTGAGCAAAGGCTGCTGGTCCAGAGACAATGGAAAACGTTTGTATTGGAGCTATGAGCTCCCACCCAAGCACAGCTCACCTGGCCCGAACAATGCCTCAGCTGAAGGGGACGCACTGGAACACACCACAATGTTCTCTGTGGATCATGCTGTCCTGGAGGCCTGAGGCCTTCTCGGGCCCTCTGGTGAGCTGAAGGCCCGTTCTGTCTGAGTGCACATCCTCCTGGCCAGCCCAGCCTCCTCCCCCACCCCACCATGAGTAGGCCTGGTGCTCTTATCGAAGGGGCATGCTCTTCTTCCTTCCTGGGGGGCTGGGGGGAGGCTGCTCCCTCTTGTTTCTCATCCCTTGTTCTCCGTAACATCGCAGCTCCACAGCTGGCCATGACTAGGAGCTCCAGTACACCAGCTGTGCCTGGGTGGGTTCTTTGTTGTCTTGGGGGCTGAGGAGGATGTGCATGCCAGGGCCAAAAGCTGCCCAGGAGTACTGCTGCCTCCGCACTGCAGTCTGCATCCATGTGTGTGCCCAGGGACACCCAAATGTGTATGTGTGCAAGCATGTGTGTGCAAGGCCAGAACTTGCTCTGGGAACCTGCTCCCGCATGCCAGTATATGGGGCTGGCTTGAGAAACATGCATGGGGTTGGGTTGTGCTCTCTGCACATGAAGTGTGTGTGTGTGTGTGTACACGCGAGTGTGTGCTGGACATGCTGCCTAGCTATTTGTCACTGGCCATAGAAATGGCAGATGTTCATGCGATGTGCACTTCAAGGTCATGGATTCTGACCGTTCTCTCACCGCTGGGGAGGCTGTTTGAGGCCAGGACTAATATTGGAGGGGACCACACCCTCCTCTAGCCAAGCCAGTGCTGGTTGTGGCTGCTTCTGCTGCTGGAGCCCAGTGGAGCCCAGCCCAGCCTCAGTCTCAGCTCAGACCCAGTCCCGGCCCCAGTCTCAGCTCAATCTCAGTCCCAGCCCAGCCCAGCTCAGCCCCAGCCTAGCCCAGTACCAGCCTCAGCCGCAGCCCGGCCTCAGCCCCAGCCCAGCCTCAGCCCCAGCCCGGCCTCAGTCCCAGCCCAGCCCAGCCCAGCTCATCTCAGACTCAGGCTTCAAGTCACAGGGAAGGAAATGCCTCCCCACACTTCTAATTCATCCCTGTCTGTGTAGCCCCCCACTTGGGCTTGTTCACGCCAGAGCAGGCCTTGGAAAGGCTTGGAATGTTTCCATTCTAGTCCTGGTGTTGAGAAAGGGGGGTGCTGTTGGGGCTCGGCCCGAGAGCCTCCCCAGGCAGGAGTGGTCTTTGCCTTGGACTCCAGCTCGCTCTAAGACCCTGGGGTCTCTCTGTAAAAGAAGTGCGCTGGACCCAAAGGCCCCTCCTGGCCCTGAGTCTGGGATCCTCCGGGCCCAAGCTGTGGGCGTGGGGTGGCCTTTCCCCAAAGTACATGTGTTGAGACCCAGCCTCCACAACTGCTCCATGTTGGAGGCAACACCATTGGATTTGCCAAGAGTTTCTGAAGCTCTGCCTGCGTATCGGGCACCGTGCTGGCTCCCTGCCCTGAAAGAGTCAGGTCCTCTGGAGAATCTTACGTGGGTGATGATAGAGCATGTCCGTGTTCCTGGCTCAGTAAACACACGGTGATTGGAAAAGAAGAACGTACTAGTGCCTGGGTGGGGAGATAAGTGAGGAAGGACTCCTGGAGGAGGAAGCAGAGGAAAGCATGGAGAGAGGGGCACCAGGGGAGCGGGTATTCCAGGCGTAGGGGACAGCCCAGGCAAAGGGGTGGAGGTAAGAATGCTGAGGAAAGGAGACCATTTAGGCTGAAACATGGAGTGTGTGAAGGGGAATAATATGAAAGTTCCACTGGAAAGGGAGGCAAAAGCCTGCCTCACCTGGAAGGCCCCAGCTGTCCTAGATTTCTCCACTGCAATGCCGTTATCCCAGGCAGCTGGCTGGGCAGCCTTGCCCCTCCCCCCAGGCCAGCTCCTTCCCTCCACGCTTGCCCTTTGGCCAGTCCCTTCTTCATTTATTCATGGGGGGGCCTCCCTGCCCCCCCAGCTTCTCCAGGGTTACAGCCTCAAGCTCTGGAGGGCCTGGCCCAGGCAGGGGGCTAGGGGCTGGCCTTCCTGGGAGCCTTGGCACGCATTCTTTCAGTGGGGCCTGCCATGGCCCCGGGGAGGAAGGTGCACTGGGCCCTTTTGCACAGATGAGGACAGTGAGGCTCGCTCATGACAGTCCAGTGCTCAAAAGGCCTCGGAGACGGGTGGCCCACGTGGGGAGGCCCTGGATGTTCCCTTTGGCCACAGGAGGTGCCTGAGGTGTTCAGCAGGGAACGGGGAGCAGGCTGAGCAGGCTGGCAGTTGCCCATGCCGGGGAGCCCTGCGCCACATGGACCCAAGGATTGGAGGAGCTCCAGGAAGGCTCCCTGAGCTTGACAGTGTGGGTGTGTGCCCATTCCTGATGTGCTCAGGTGGCCCGGAACAGAGAATGTCAGCAGACAGACCTGGGTTCAGATCTAGCCTCAGACACTTACCAGTTGGGTGACCGTGGACAAGTCACTTTACTGCAGTCCGCCTCAGTTTCCCCGAGCATAAAATAGGGATGATGACAGGCCCTACCTCCCAGGGTTGTTGTAAGGCCCCAGTGAGACATGTATGAAGTGCTCAGCACATTTCCTGGCACACGTAGTAGGAGCTATCTCCCCAAGGAGCAGGTGTCGCGTTTGTTTGTGCCTGTCTGGCTAAGCCTTGCCTTGTTCAGCTTCCCTTGGCAGCTGGGATGCCATATTCTTTGGGCCAAGATGAGGTTTTAGCCTTCGGGACCTGCAGACTGAAGGCCAGGCTTCCATTCCCCAGCTTGGAAAGTCCTTCCCAAGCCTGGCCTGCCCTGTGGCCCTCTGTTCTTCCATAGCCTCCTTTGGCCAGAGTGCTCATGGAGGACCCCTAGCTCCCCTGAGTACCCAACGCCTACCCACCTCAGCTGCCCCTCTTCTGTGCCGGTTTATTGGGGAGTCCCCTTTTAGGTGACGAGAGAGGAAGGAGGTTTCTGGAGGAGAGCTGGGTCAGAGAGGAATGATGCAGGCCTCCCCTGGTCCCCATTTATCGCCCCTGTCCCTGGGTGGCTCCCCCCCCAATCTCCCCAGCCGGCTCTCGGTCGGGCCCTGGTACCCTCTCACCTGCAGTCTCCCCGCAGCTGCCAGAGATGTGACCACACTCCCTTGCTGACTCTGGGTTTAGCCTTTCCCAAGCTGGCCTCATTCCACAACTCCCCTTCATGCACTCTGGGGCCTAGCCAGCTGGTGGCCTTTCCCTGGCCCTCAGCCGGGGCTCTCCATCCCCAGTCTCCTCACCGCCCTTGGAGGATTCGGTCAGTGTCTCTTCTGGATGGGGGGGGGGGGGCATCCCTAGAGCCACAGCTGTTAGTGCCTCCCTAGTCCCCTCGTACCAAGCTCGGCTGTATCCCCTACGTAGCCAGACGTAGACGGCTGTCTCCTTCCTTGATGAGGTGATAGGGACTGCCTCAGTTTTCTCTTTGTATCTAACCCCAGTGCTTAGCACAGGCTGAGGCTTGATAAAGACCTCTCGACTAGCTGGGATCTAAGGGTCGTGGATTAGGGCCTGGGCAGGGACTCGGAGCTCCTGTGGCCCAGTCCCCTCATTTGACTGGGAAGGAAAGTGAGGGCCGGATTCAATGACTTGCCCAAAGTCACTCGTCATCTCGGGAGCAGGTGGCAGTCGTCAGAGGATTGGCCCAAGTCAGCCTGGGTTCATCTTCCAATTTGACCTCTCTGTCTGTCTCTCTCCCCTTCCTTTTCCATCTCGCCCCCTCTCCAGGTGAAAAACCGTACAAGTGCTCCTGGGATGGGTGTGACTGGCACTTTGCCCGCTCGGATGAGCTCACCCGACATTATCGCAAGCATACCGGGGTCAAGCCATTCAGATGCACCACCTGTGAGCGTTGCTTCTCCCGCTCCGACCACCTGTCCCTGCACGTAAAGCGGCACCAGAACTAGGGGCAGAGCGCCCCCCGCCTGACCGTGCCTCCTGCACTCACAGCTCAGCCCTGCTCTTCTCTCCCATTTCCCTCGTTCGAAGGCAGCTCACACCCCACAGCTCGGCTTTGCTGGTTTGAGGAAGCGCACGTGGAGAAACTTGGGTTTGAGGGTGCCATTGTCCTCTTTGGGGTCTACCTCACCACATCCCATTTTTGTGCCCCAAAAGATGTCCTAAAAATGTCTGATAGCAAAGCCCCAGAAGGAGGCCTCTGCACCGGCTTTTCAGCTCTAGAATGACTCCGCCTAAGCCCAAGCTGCTCTCGGGTGCCAGGAAAGGGAGGGGGCATCTAGAGACCCAGAGGCAACATGAGGGCTTCTTAGCCTGCCCCCGTCTCCAGCTTTGAGCTTGGCCAAGACCCTAGGACCATTTCATGTGATAAAGATGGGACTTTTGTGGCCCCTGACGTTTGGGTGGTGACCCACCACCCACGTGACCTTATTGGCATGTTGTTTATCACTGCGTTGCCAGGTTTGGGGAGTGTAGATACCTAGCCAGGTATCTGGTAGAGCAGACGGCTCCATGCGGGCCACTGCTTGCCTCCTTTGGCCTCTTTTGACAAGGACCATTCAGATTCCGGGACAAGCTCCAGAATCGGTACAAAGCAGATGGGTTTGGGGTGGGGGGAGAGAAGGTCCCAGCCTGGCTCCCTTCAGCAGGCCCGTCAGGCAGGTGGGTGGCCAGGCTTGGGAATCCTGGCAATGGGAGCTGAAGGCTAGGGCAGTGTGCGCCAGCTGTGCCAATGAAGCACTTTGGTGAGCAAATTCAGGGCTGAAACGAAGGCACCCCAGGATCGGTAGTGGTAGTGATGCAGGTCGTGTGGATGATTGACACTGCTCATCCCGAGTTGATATCCCCCTTAGAGCAAGGCCTCTATGGGCAACGCCTAGAGTGGAATACATTGAACCAGTATGTGTGTGTGTTCACATGTATGCATGTTTGTATGTATACACACACGTATGCATATTTGTATATATACACACACGTATGCATATTTGAGAGTCGGTGACCAGTGGCTCGGGAAACATTGCCCACGTTCCTACCAGATGCTTCTTGCAGAATCAAAGACAAACATGAGGATCCCAGGCCTTGAGCTTCCTTCCATCCCACCAGGCCATGAGAGTGATGGTCTGAAGTCCAGGCCTCGCCCTTTTTCCCATCAGCCCCAGCAAGGATGCTTGGCCTGGCTCAGCCGTCGTCATGGGACGAGGGCTTGTGCTCTGTTCTCACTGTGCTGGTGGGCTGAGCGGGCCGTCCACAGGCCTGAGCTGTGCAGAGCCGGTGGTCTGGAGGGGACCAAAAGGACCCGGCACGAGGAGCGGTGAGGCCTTCCTTTCAGTGCCACTGCTCCTTTCCTTGCTGGTTTTTCGTTTTCTTGCCATGCTTGGAGAGTGATGCCCCATGTAGAAAAATACTCATCTGCTGGGCTCTCTGGGGCACTAGGAGCACAGCAGGCGGACACTGGACTTCTCCCTGGGATCAGGGATCATTCCCCACAGACACAGGGACCTGGGGCACGGGCCATAGGGGCAAAACTGATTTTTTTTTTAAAGAACTGAGCCCAGGCATTAAGAACAGCTGAAGACATGTCCCGCCCCCAGCTCTCACTTCCATTTCTAACGCCCAAACGGAACGAGCTGTTTGGCTCCCATCGGGCCTGATGACGATGGCTGCCTGCCAGATGGCCTCTACCCCCCAGCCTGTGTCACACAGCAGTGCCTTTGGCTAGGCAGAGTCACCTGTGTGACTCTCAGGCAGCTCCCTGCTTCCCCAAGCCTGCTACCATCCCTTCCCAAGTGTGTGTGTGCCTTCCCTTTGCCTTGTAGGACACCCCCGCTGAGCAAAGTTGACCTTCTCCCCAGGCATTCACTTGTTTGGGCCTCTCGGGTCACTGGGGGACAAAGGCCCCAGAAGTTAAGATAAACATTGTTTTTTTTCAGGCAAAAAATTAAAAAGGAGAAAAACGCCAAAAAGCAAAACAAAATGAGCGTGATTGAAGGTGTGTGCAAGATGGTAACTAACATTAGCATGAATGACTGAGATTCGGTTGTTTTCTGGTGTGTTTCTGAAAGTAGTTCTGTGTATGCTACATGGGAGCCTCCTGTACCGGCAAAGGAATAAAGCTTGAAGCCCATTGCTTTGGTGAGAGTGTTTTCTGGAGCCTGGGGTCAGGCTTTCAGTGGGAAGAAGGGAGGGGGCTGCCTCGTGGAGGCACCAAGCTGCAGAGGGGGTCCCACCATCACCTCCAGTACTGCCCATCGCATCCCCAGTTGTATTCACCTACTACACGCCTACTTGGGCTGTGCTGGGGGCGAGAGGAAGAGGCCAAGAAAGCTAAGACCCACTAGCTGCCCTCCAGAAGCTTCTGACACAGAAGACACTGGCATCTGGAGGAGAGTGGAGAAGGAGCGTTTGGGGCAGGTTTGCCACACCAACCCCAGAATGTCTCCCTATCCTCAGCTCTGCTCATTGATCCTTTCTTAGTGGGAAGCCTGAAAAAGCCCTGACTTCCCTGACTTGGTAGTTCCTAGATCAGTGGATCAGGCACATGCCAGAGACCCAGTGTGCCTAGAGCAACGTTTCCACGAGTCATTTGACGTGTTGTTTGTGCTCCTGTCATGGTGACCCAAATTGAGCTGTGTAGCCCAAGAGAGCATTAGGAGCTGGCTAGATGAGTGGAGCCTCTGACTGGGGCTCTGCCCCACATCTGCATCTCCCCTGGACGCCCCCAGGGTGTCCAAGCTGGTGGACGGTGCTCATTGTCCTGTGAGGCATTCCTCGAGCTCCAGATCTTCAGGGATCATCCAGTAATGAAGGTTAACACCAAGGAATGACCCTCTCTAATCCATGTGCTCAAAATCTTCCCAAAGTCCAGGCCAGCCGATGGCACTCCCCTGCTCCTCTTGAGGCCCCCCACTCCCTGAGTGTACCTATTTCTGTTGCTAGAGGCTCCCAACCTGGGAATCCCCCTCGATTCTTTCCTCACCTCCTCCCACCCCCCTCCCCCCGCAGTAGCCAATCAATTGCAGAGTCTCCTGGATCCACTTGCACAGTCCCACTAATCCCCAGCCAAGCGTTCAGGACCTGCTCCCATCGATTCAGTTCAAGTCAGTGGGCATTTCTGGGATGCACGTGTGCTAGGCACTAAGGGGGCAAAGCCCCACACCAACTCCCAACTCCCAGCTCCCTAATCTCGGCCCCTGCTCCCCATTTCCATTCTCCTCTCCAAGCATCTCCCTGAGTTAGGCTGCCCAGGACAGTCCTCCAGGCTTTGCTCTCAGCTCCAGGATAAAGGGCAGACCTCTCTGGCTGCCGCCCCCAATCTAGCTCCCAATGACCCTGCCAGGCTTCTCCCACCTCCTTCCTGTCCATGAGCTTTCTACTCCTGCCCCCCACCCTGCTCCCAATTTCATTTTGCCAAGAGGGCAAAAGGGTGTCTCTCACCTGAAGTTTTCATGGGAATGATAGATGTCCTTAAGAGAGGGAAATAGAACATGCATTCAGATTGAAAGTGGCTGGAATGATCATGTTATAGCCTGGAAGACCCTGTTTCCATGAGCACCTAACAATGATCAGAGCTCGCATTTAGACAGAACTTTACAAAGCGCTTGATATGAGTTATTCCACTCCGTCACTCTCATCATTTCCCAGGTGAAATAGAACCTGGTGGAGCCTATGTCACCTGCCTTGGGTTACCTAAGGATCTGCCCAAGTGGGGAAGGAAGGGAGGGGAATTCAACAAGTCTAGAGCCAGGGGAAGGATGGCATCTCAGTAAGAAGGACGGTTGGCCAGTGTGCCTAGCAGAAGGTTGGAGGGGGCCCTTTGACTGAGGACTTTGGAGGGGGTGGGCACAGTCCTGGCACCTCCTGAGGGATCTAGGTCATTGATGGAACCGTTCCAAGATGAATTAAGTGTGACTTCTGCTGTTGTAGAATGGACGATCCCCTCTTCCATGCTGGCATAGACGATGGGACTCACAGTACTTGCGGTCACTTTTCCCTTTTGCTTTGCTTCTAAAGAGATTCTGAGAGAGCAGCACAAGCAGGTTAGAGACAGGTTGAGACAGGTATGTCTCATCAAACCCAGCTCACTGCCTTCTATTCTTCAGGCCCAAGCAAGTGACCAAAACTCATCCAGCCTGGACCCAGTTCGCAGGGGAGGAGGCTTTGTGCCATCTCAGTTTCTCACGGGAGGAGGCATGCATGCTACTCTTTGGAAGTCTGGAATGGCTTCTGCCAACACTGACATGCCAGGGCTGAGGACCAGGCAGGGCATCAAGCCCACACAAGTAGAGCCCAAACATGGGCAATCTTCACTCAATCCCCAGGAGCCCGGGCCCTGCCTAGCTGGCAGAATGACCAGAAGGGTCGCTGTCCAGCACTGCCAGACGCTCCATCCTCCCTCTTCCGCATGAAGGTTCTCTGTGTTCAGATGGCCCCAGTGGATCTCAGCAGACACTGTTGGTATCTGTGGAAGCTGGAATGATCTCATTTCCCAAAGCTGGCCTGGTCTCATTCAGGTTTTGATCAATGGGAAGCTTTTCTTGCTGCCCTTTCCCATCCCCTTTGATTGATTGTTTTACTTTTTACTCCATTGGGCATACCCCTTCCTCTTTGTGAGATGGGGTGGGGGGGAGTGAGCAGAGTTTAGATATGACCAGCTTCTGGCTGGAAGTCTCCTTTGACTGCTGTTTTTAAGAGTGTATGAGACAAGGGTGAAGTGAGTACTGCATAGAAATATATATGAATAATATTTTTGAAAATGAAGGAGAAATGGAAAATATTAGAAACTAGAGGCCAATAGGGTCACTGGGTGGTGCTGCAGTAGATAGAGCACCTGGCTTGGAGTCAAGAAGACTCCTCATTCCTGAGTTCAAATCTGGCCTCAGACACTTACTGGATTTTGTGTGGCCCAGGGCAAATCACTTAACCCTGCTTGCCTCAGTTTCCTTATCTATAAAGTGGGGAGAATAATAGCACCCACCTCTGAGGGTTGTTGTGAAGATCAAAGGCGATCATAATTATAAAGTGCTTAGCACAGTGCCTGGCGCATAGTAGGTGCTATATAAATGCTATTCTCCCCTCTCCCTTCCCTTCCCTTCCCTTCATATTGAGCTTGTGACTGTGGGGAAAATTATTATACTGTTTAAATCCAACCTTGTGTGATTAAAGACTGTCTTCACCCAAAATGTTGCCTGACCCCAGTAAACTCTCTAGGAATTCTGGAAATGACTACAAGGTATTTGGGGTTCCCCCAGGTTCTGGATCCAGGCAAAGCATCCTTGTTTTAGGTGCACTCAAACTTGTGTTTTGGTTTCAACCAAATTTCAATGGAGGTTTCCAGTTACTCATCTCCATTCCAATTTTCCTGGCTTTCAAGTTGCCCTCTTGGCTAAATTACCTAACTGTGTGAGTGCAGTTCGTGTATGGGCACACTTGTCCAATTCCTATATGATGCAGTCCTTCCAGAGCCTGGACAAGGGGGAGAACAACACCTCCTTTCTGGTTTACTCTCCTCTACCAAATGGCCTAACAAATTTCTTTCTACAACCATTTCAGACTTTGGAGTCTGCTCCCAGAAACAACATGACCTATTACCCTTGAGAGGCAGTAGCATGTGAACTTCAGATCTATTTTCAAAAAAATAATTAATTTATTTATTTTTAGTTTTCAACATTCATTTCCATAAACTTTTGAGTTCTAAATTTTCTCTCCCTCCCTCTCCTCCCTCCTCCCCAAGATGGCGTGCAATCTGATATAGGCTCTACTTACACATTCATATTAAGCATATTAAGCATAGTCATGATGTAAAGAACAATTAGAAGCTACAGGAGGAACGACGAGAATGAAGCAATAAAACAAAACAAAAGGAGAGTAAATAGTGTGCTTCCATCTGCATTCAGACTCCATAGTTCTTTCTCTGGATGTGGACGGCATTTTCCATCACGAGACCTTTGGAGATGTCTTACATCCTTGTATTGCTGAGAAGAGCTAAGTCTATCAAAGTCAGTCATCTCACAACGTGGCTGTTATTGTGTACAACATTCTCCTGGTTCTGCTCACTTCATTCAGCATCAGTCCATACAAGTCTTTCCAGGTTTTTCTGAAGTCCGCCTGCTCATCATTTCTTATGGAACAATAGTATTCCATTACATTCATCAACCACAACTTGTTCAGCCATTCCCCAATTGATGGGCACTGGGGTGGATTTTTTTAAAATTATGTTTGGGGGGGCAGCTAGGTGGCACAGTGGATAGAGCACCAGCCCTGAAGTCAGGAGGACCTGAGTTCAAATCCAGCCTCAGACCAAACACTTAACACTTACTAGCTGTGTGATCCTGGGCAAGTCACTTAACCCCAATTGCCACAGAATACAAAATTAAAAAAATTTGTGTTTGGACCAGGAAGAAGCTTTTGTTCGGACAAAACCTAGACATGGAGAGGGCAGATTTTAAAGTCAAAAGAACAATAGGCAGGACACAATGGATTCGTATTCTAGAAACCAGCCCAGAAACAATGGGAGGCTCTCAGGAATGAAACTCTGCAGGTACAAAGAAAAGGAGTCATGGAATAAGACCAATGTGGGCACAGCAATCCACTTAAAATTTTAAAAGACCATGGACAGAAGGTGGAAAGAAGGGAAGTAAACACAGGATAAATGCAAAAACATGTTTTTCTATTGTTTTCAATAGTATCGAAATGAACTAAGGCTGGTTAGGAAAGTTTAGAACAAGAGAAGATGGTTGATTTGTTATACTGAGGGAAACAGAAAGCTCAAAGAAGTGACAGGAAAACTTTGTTGTGGATTAGGTGTTGAGAAGCAACGCCAGAGAGAAGCAGAGATGCTCCACTGTCGCTTTGGTTTCATTCTCTCTGTTGAGAAGAATGAGTTTCAAGGCAGGAAAGGACACAATAAAGATAGTTACCAGGGAGTGAATGACCAAAGGAAGGAAGAAGGGAGAATGGCTCACCCCTATTGGTCTCTCTGCCTCAAGTTGCTCCCTTCTCAAACTATCCTCCTAAGACACAGAACTGACTGTCCAAAATAGTCAATGGCTCCCTAGGTCCTCAGCCTGGCATGTAAAGCCTTCCACAGGTTAACTCCCATCTCCCTTTCTATGTTTATT